TATCAAACAGTGTTTGATATGGAGTACACACTGTAGAAATGTTAGCTGCGTTATCATTATTAGTTACTAGAATTCTGCCCTACTGACCAGCTTGGAGAAAGTAATGGAAAGAAGAGTGAACAGGACTTTGAGTCAGAAACTCAGGATCACAGTGCTGGTTCTTTGGTAACTTCTCTGAGTCTCAATCCTTCGTGAAATGGAGTTAACTCGACAAGATAATCTCTAAAGGGCCTTTCCAAACTAAAGATTTCAGACTAGGATAAGAGTTGTAGAAGTGGGAAAAAAAAAAAAGGGATACATATGGAACCCTTAGGGAAGAACCGATAAGATTTAAGAACTAGCTAGAAATGTAGAATGATAAAAACAATGACTCAACTATGAACACAAATTTTTGAGCTTTGGATGACTGAAGGTTTAAATAAAGAGGAGCATGTTGACCCAACAGATGTATATGTATTATTTTAATAAGTCAGTAGATTCTCCATGGAAGTGGATATTCTTGACCTCTGGATCAAAATGTCAACCAGTATGTTTAAAATCCCTTCTTGTAAAAACATTTTAGTATGTTAAAATGAAACCTTTGTGGATCATTATAATTAGAGATAATGACATTTAGTCCACTTAATAACATTCATTCCAAAGTATCAAATTTACGGAAAAAAAATCAATGTATACATCAGTCACCAAGAAATTAATATCTTGAATAATTCTTTTGATGTAGAAAAAACCTACCCCAGACTCACAGAGCTGCCTGTAGATGTCACAGCAGAACTCAATGACAAAGCATTTTAATCTGTTTTCTCTTAGACAGTGATTTCATGAACTCATCTTCATATAGCTATACTGCAACATGACATCTCATGCACTACATGGAACATGTTTTCAGTACCAGATCCCACCATAAATTGTTGTGTGCCCTGAAGTAGTCTTTAGAGAATCATGGTGTCGTTTAGTGTGACATCCAAAAGAAAGTCTTAGATTATGCTGAGGGACATATTTTTCGAGATTCTGACCTACTCATTTCATACATGTGATCAGCCTGGCAAAGTTATGTTGACATTCTGATAGGCTCCATTCCACAATATTGTACTGATGTAACATTCCTGGACAAAAATCTAAAGATCACAGTTGTTCACAAAACCCTTTGCTTATATTTCATGGAATGAAAAAAATCTTGCCAACTTTTTGATGATCTTTTCAAGGGCAACATTTCAAATGTAATATCCTTCTCTGGACATTGAACAGTATTTCAGTTACAACTGACTGGTCAACATTTGGGTCAGATCCCAGAACAAAACATTTTAAAAATAAAATTGTTCATGAAATGTTATAGTTTAATACTATCTGCAGACCTATTTAGACATAGCCAAAATGGACCAATTTATGACTAGATAAAATGAAAAATGTCATTGATTAGCCTAGAACAGCAACATAAAAAATACTTAGTCCCAAGGCAAAGCAAATGATATGCTGAAACACACTGCAGAAAAGAACAGAGACCACTTGGGAAATGAGTCACTTAGAGTCATATTTTCCAGTTATCTTAGTTAACCTTTTCTGTTTTGGAACATAATTTTAACTCTTAGAATAGAATTCTCTCTAAAACATACCATATGGCTCCTGCCTTTTAAAAAGATATGTATCTTTTCTTCTTCATGATTAAGGGCCATCATTATGAAGACTAATCACTAAGACGTGGTAAAGATGTAGCCATAAATGCAGATTTATATAATATGGGATAATATGAAATAAAAAGAAGAAATGTATTTTCCCTATAGCAATTGCATCAAACTTGATTTCCTAAAAATAAATAAAAAACCTCCCGACGACATCTTGCTTTTTGTTCATTTATCAATTTTCCATAAAAGTATAATGAAGCATAGGTAATTATATAATATCCTATGAAGTATAATGTAACTACTCTGTGTAAAATGAAATAGTGGCTGAATCTTGACACCATCTTCTTCCAAATGCTTTCACTGTCTTCTGGTAAAATCGACATTGCCTTCCATCACTATCAATGACATGAGACTCATCCCTGGATTTCAAAACTATACCTAATTTCATGAACTAGAAGCTTATCCCCACTCTTCCTTCTCCATTGCACTAAATTGGCTTATAGTGTATATTTCACTTCATTTCAAAAGTATGTGATGGCATGAATGGGGGAAGACTTAGTCTACACAGTTTTCATTTTACTAAAAGTAGAAAGAGGACAACAATGTGTCTACTACGGAGCATCAAGTCTTAATTTTCTCCAAGTCCCATGTCATATTTCATTTTGAAGAAAACTCTGCACCTAAGCAACAATATTACGAGCGGATTCAAAGTCTCATATAAAACCTGTATAAGATCAATTTTCTCATAACTTCTATAATATATCACTTTCGAAAAACCCTTGTTCAGAAGTTAACTCAGATAAAAATTGCTATTAAGATGGAAGGCAAATATTCCCAGACACCAACACTGCTTCCTTATAGGGAATTCTACAATTTCTCCCCCAAAAATTGCAAATAGTAAGGGCTCAGTAAATGTTACATGTTATATTCAGCAAATATGTACTAAATATTTACTATTTTCTAGGCACTATGCTAAGTAGAAATAAGTAAAATAACTCAGCCCTCAAGGAGCTGATAACTCAGAGTGCTCAGTGCCTTAGTGAAAACATACGTGGTTCAGCAGGCTAAATTTGCTCATAAAAGTCTTTTGCAATCCAAAAGCATTAAGTCCAAGACTTTTTGCAGGAAAAAGATAAACTGCTTTTCAGTTGTTACTTAAGAAATATCACTGGATAGAAAAGCAAACTCCTTCCATTTAATAAAACGACTAATCTGCTATCTCAAGTAAGGTATAAATCCCAGGACAGAATAAATTTTTTTTTAACATACAGTTGGCCCTCCATAACCACAGGCTCCGCATCCACAGATTCAATCAACCGTGGATTGAAAATATTCAAGAGATAAAAATAATTTAAAAATAACAATACATGGCCGGGTGCGGTGGCTCACACCTGTAATCCTAGCACTCTGGGAGGCCGAGGTGGGATGGGTCGCTTGACCAGCCTGAGCAAGAGCAAGACCCCGTCTCTATTAAAAATAGAAAAATCAGCCCAGCATGGTGGCATGTGCCTGTAGTCCCAGCTACTCAGGAGGCCGAGGCAGGAGAATCACTTGAGCCCAGGAGTTTGAGGTTGCTGTGAACTAGGCTGATGCCATGGCACTTTACCCCAGGTGACAGAGCGAGACTCCATCTCAAAAAAAAAAAATACAATAAAAAATAATACAAACAATACAATTTACAACTATATACATAGCATTTACATTGTATTAGGTATTATAAGTAATTTAAAGATGATTTAATGTATATGGGAGGATGTGCATAGGTTATACACAAATACTACACCATTCTATGTAAAATTTTGGTATTTGCAGGGGAGGAGGGATGAGTGGAGCAGAGGTATGAGGGGTCCTGAAACCAATCCCCCATAGATATCAAGCAACAATTTACAATGTGTAATTAAGTTCAGGTGGTCTAACATGCCCTTGCTTGTTCCATCACCTTATATCACCTAAAATCTTGAAAGAATATAAACTAAGTCCTGGTTCAAACATAAATGAATCAATTACTGTACTGACTGAATGATACTTTCCTTACTTTTTCTTTTTGAATTACGTATGTATGTTCATTTTATCTAAGATTAGCATATGTTGATGTATTCCTATCCTAGAATAAAATAAAATTTAGAAATTAGCTTTAACCAGTCACCTAGCTTAGTAATATTTATTACTATCTAAGCTATAGTCCTTGCCACCATATTCTGGCCTTATTACTATATAGATAAACCCTTGAAGGAAACAGACCCCAGAAAGGTACAAGAGCTTCTTGCAATCACACATGCGCACATGAGAGTTATTTTATGCCCTCATGAATGTGCTACCTCCACCAAGATCACTGCTTCTCCCCACACAGTGATGCTAACCACCACTCCCCTCTCCACCCCTTACACACACATACTCTCTCACACTCTCTCTCTCTCTCTCTCTCTCCACACACACACTCTCTCTCTCTTCCAAACTCTTGGAATGTGAAAGGAGTACGGGCTTTGGAATCAGATACAGCTAAAGTCAAATCCCATCTCTGTAACTCAGAAACTCATTATCAAGTCCAAGTTCACTTGTGTTTATGTATTCCTTCACCACAAGAGAATTTGTTTTTGTTTTGTTTGACAACTTTTGCCAAGAAAAGTCATTCCAAGAGCCCAGGGACACTGAAAACCAAGTGTCAAGGCACCTAAGAGTCTCCCCTTTTTCAAAGTGCTTCCCTAGGATACATGAGGAGTATCTCCAACAAAGGTAGCGGGAGGCATTTATATGGATGTTTGGTTTATAATTATTTGGTAAATTTTTAATTTATGTTTTATGTATTTTTCTGTATGCACATCATATATTACAAAAAATAATAAGATAAAATGTAAAACAGCCTCCCACCCATTGTCATCCTCAGCAAAATGTACTTTCTATGAAATGATAAAAAAATGAAGACTTTCTTCATGCACTCAATAGGATACAGGATAAATAATATCCTATTCTGTGTGCAATTTAGCATAATTTACTCTCACTCAAGTTAGCTAAGTGTTTTCTAAAAAATAATAATAACAATATAGTTTACATTTGTTTCCAAGGAGGCTTCTTAAAGAACAAATAAAATATTAAAATACCTTTAAACAATCCGTGATAAAATCATGGTGACCTACATAGAGCAAATCACCCATTATAAGTAAGTTATATATATGAAAGTGGTTCCCTTTTTTAAAACTCAAAAGAAACTCTATAATCTGACACCCTAATAATTTGTGAGATTCTACATCCCCAGAAAAAAACAAAAGAAACAACTTCAAACAAAAAGTCACTACTGTCTGCCAAAGAATAAACTAAAAAGAAATGTCTCAGCCAAGAAATCAGAGTGGAACTACAAGCCCATACCAAAAATCTGCTACATACCTTCATCAATACAGTTTTCAGCAAGAGCATAAAGCTGAGGTGAGCGTTCCTCAAGCAATTGCTGGTGAATATTCACATATCTCAATGTCCACCATGGTAAGCTCTAGAAAAAAAGCACCATGTAAGCTAAAATAAAAGAACACTTTGGAAAACTTTTTTTTACATTAACTGAGATTAATTCCTAGAATGTTTTTTTTTACGATCATGAAATTAAATTTAGTTCTCAATAAGCTTATCCATCCACTGCTGTTTTTAATAATAAGGCCAACATCCACTTCTATGTCTTCCATAGAATAACACTTCACCTCCTTTCTCTGAAAGCCTGTATTTTTTTTTAGCCACTTGGGCTTCCTGATGCCATTTCAAACTTACCATCTCTTCTTTTACAACGTGTGTTGCAATCATCCTGTTCTGCTGTGGCACTCTATAGCCACCATAACCCAAGTACACGAACCCCTTGTGGGGGTGATTTTCCCCTTGCCTGAACTTGCAGCACGTTATTTGCACTTCGCTTTGCAAACACATTCCACTATATTTATGTATGCATCCCTAGGTTTCAGTGTTGCCACCTATCCAACAAGATGAGAAATCACGTCTTAATCATCTCTGTATTTTCAAAGCAATGTGTTTTGCACAATCTACATAGTAAGATTCAGATATTCCCCAAAACTGGACGATACCTTCCACACCTTTGTGAAACCTCTTCCTTAAAGTCTTCTCCTCCTAGTGTGGCACAAATTGATCTCTCACTTCTCTGAACCTCTACGCTGTTCCTAGAAGTTGGCACCACATGAATAGCACTTGTTTTTAAGTGCATAACTCTGCCTGGACCATATATTTCTGAGGGTAGACACTGCATTTTATACATTGTCTTGACTAATGTACAGACTCAGCATATAGTAGCTTTTTCGTTCATTCTATGGTGCTTTTTCTTACTTGATCAATATCCTTATTTTTAAAAAAAAAGAAGAAAAAAGAATAAAAATAAGAGACAATAAGCCAATATAGAACTATCTACAGTGAAGAGTGTAAATCTCTCTTCCACTGCCCCAATGCCATCCTCCTCCCCCAGAAAAATCCATGACAAAGGTTTATATTCTTCCAGACCTTCCTCTATGTATGTGCATGTGTGTATGTGTATGTATGTGTACAAGTTATAATAGGTATTTTTGATAGGCTCGTTATAGTACGAAATATGATCATGTACCAAATCATCTACATTAATTTTAAGTATGTTATTTGAATTATATTACATGAAGGTATAAGAATTTTTTTTTTTAATAGCAATACCAACTAATAGGAAATCACACTTAATTACCAAAAAGCAATTTTTTTTAATAGAGAGACAGGGTGTCACTATGTGGCACAGGCTGGAGTGCGCCAGTGGCTATTTATAAGCATGATCATAGTACACTATAGCCTCAGACTCCTAGACACAAGCAATCCTCCAACCTCAGCCTCCCAAGTAGCTGGGACTGTAGGCACACACCACCATGTCCAGCTCAAAAGCATTTTTTTTTACTTGAACTGAATTTCTTCATTGATTAAGGGGTTCCCTTCTAAATTGCTACATACCACAACTGCTACAATGATGCAACCACAAATAAACTATGACAAAATTTTTTCTAATTATCATTTCTGTTTCCTCAGTCCATGTAAGGAAAGGTAGAATTATCTAATAGAAAGGAAATTTCAAATCATTTTTAATCGAATTCTCAAAGGTGTTGCCTCATTTTCATTCTTTTCCTATCACGATGGATAATCACGTCAGTCTACATTTCAATTATCTGTCCCTTGTCTGCTGTCAGCAATAAGTGAGTCAGGTTTGGCAGTGTATTCTTTCCTTTTCTAGACACGGGAATTTAGATAGATCCAGGCAAAAAGACTGCCCTTTTACGAAAACACGACACAAGATGCTGACCTCTTAAAAATCGGATCTAGAAATTAACTCGTAACCCAAAATCTCTATATGAGGGGAAAGAGTGTGAAACAAATATAGAAACGCAACCTATTTTCTACTGGAAAATATAAAAGACCTTGTCTATTTGCCAAGAATTGCTTAACAGAAAATCTGAGGCAGTAATAAAAAAGCAAACTTGACGCCTTGCTTTAAACAGTTTCCAGATCATATCTCCTGATTACAGCACTTAGTATAGAATGGTCTGATTGAAAAGTCACACCAGTCAAGAACTTCTAGATGACAGGGAGAGGTATTGTACTCACAAGGCACCCTGTTTGCCAGCTAATCTTGTTTTATAAATATGGAAACTGATATTCAAAGACATTAAGTAGCATAAGATCACACAGCTGTTAAGTGGCTGAATCAGAAAATTCTGGTCTGCTTTCAAAGCCAAGACTCTTTTAACTCAACACTTACATATTACTACATATTACTAATTCTAGCCTGTTTACTTTACAGATTAGGGGGTGAAGGAAAATCATCTTCTTTTATAGTTCCACAAAAATAATATTAATATAATAAACAGCTTGTTACATTTCTTAGGAATCAGGCTACTTAGAAATTAATTTAAAAGGTTAAAAGTGATGCTTCTTTATCATTTTATCTTCATTTATCAAAGAAGCCTTTCTTTTTTTCTTTTTTAGAGACTGGGTCTCACTCAGTCACCCAGGCTGGAGTGCAGTGGCATGATCATAGCTCACTACTGCCTCAAACTCCTGGGATCAAGCAACACTCTCATCTTGCTTGTGAAAGCAAGTCCTTACACAGTACAGACCAAGGCTATATGGCACCTATAGAAATATTAGGCTTCTCAGTGATGAAAGCCCTGACTTCACCACATCAGTAACAAAACTGCACTTGTACCGCATGAATATATACAAATAAAAAATAAATGAGAAAAAAAGAAATACTGGGTTTCTTAAAAATCTTCAACCAACACTTAAAAATTAGGAGATTTCATATAAAATTTAGATTTACTATTTCTGACACGATGGGTCCTGCATCAAACCAAGTTGCAACAATCAGAGCAGGAGTCAGCAAGATACAGTCTGTGGGCCAAATCCAGCCCACCCCTTGTGTTTATATAGCCCAAGAACTAAAAATAGTTTTTGCATTTTTACATCACTGAAATAAATCAAGAATATTTCATGAGATATGAAAAGCATATGAAATTTAAATTTCAGTGTCCGTAAATAAAGCCTAAACTGGGACAGTCCTCATTTGTTTACGTATTGTCTATGGATGCTTTCACACTGCAATGCAGCAGCGGTGAGTAGCTGCAACAGAAACTGCACACTGCATTGCTCACAACCCCCACTGCACCTTCTAAGACTTTTTTCTTCACCTTTGCTTTCTTGTGGTTTTGGTCACCTCCTGCTGCATATTAGCTTTCTGTGAGTATGAGTATTTCTCCTCACTAGTTTATACAAAGAAACCACTTAACAGATGCTCAACAAATGCTCTACTGAATCCAACCCAAATAACAAAACAACGTAGAATGTGACCCAGAAAACAATAATTACAAACCACTGCATTTTGGTCATTGCTCATTATACTTATATGAAATTCATACAAGACTATGAAGGATATTTTTAAATCTACCTTGAAGATCCTGAGAATGAATATTTATACACATACACACACACACAAAAATCCTACTAAAGAAACTCAATATAATCCCATTTTATACTAGATCAATCTTATCAGGGAAGAAAAGTTTTTGCTTATTTTCAACAGATTCTGAAATTAAATACCTAGAAGAAGACTTAAAAAACAAAATATATCAAGACATGTCAGCATCACACCTATAATCTGGTGTTAATGAGCACAAAAGTCACACCTCAGTATGAATCTCATGGATCCTTTCCTTGCCTCACCTGAATAGCTGTCAGTTTATGTCTCACATTCGCCAGGATAATGCGTGCTAATAACAGTAGTACAGGCTTTGAGGTCAGGCTGTATATTGATTCACCATCTAGAACCAGCAGGCTCAGAACAACTGCATCCAGTCCCCTGACCTGAAAAAAAGTTTGTAAACTAAGATGATATAATTTAACAAAATATTAACCTTTATATATCTTACAATAATAAATAGATTTGCTAGTTAATTCAGCTTTGAAACAAAGGCACTGATCCATTACACAGCAATTGCCACTGGACAGAATCATAACATTGCAAATGCCCTCAGAGATCTACAAATCCAGGCTGTGCTGACAGATCCCCACCCATCTGCTCAAACTTTAGACGGACAGAGAACTCAAGAAAGTGCTAGCATTGAAGAATCCTCACGGCATCACAGATTTACTTACTACAAAATACCACCTTGATAAAAAGTGCCCCTATGTTATTTACATTAAATACTTTATTTGGTATTATATTAAACATCTCCATTTCACTTACGCTTCACTAGCTGGCAAATGTCATTACAAAGCATGTGTCCATGTCTCAATTCCTATCAAGCCAAGCAATCAACAAGTTCTTACATATCAAATGCTGAACAGGCAAACAACAATGGACCAAAACAAGCAGAAGGATACAAAAAGGATTTTCAAAGGATGCCTTTGAAAAACTCACTTCTCTGCTGACAGAGATTTTTCTATAACTGACAAGGCATCTGTGTTTCTAAAATTTGGACTGCAGAATTTTAATAGCTACTACAAAATAGACAGCAGGAATCCTTAACAATTAGCAACACGGGCTCTAAAGGCACAAACACATTGTAACACCTGACCGTGTTTCTCTACTTCTTCTTAGTGTGTAGGTATGTGTAAATTTTTCCTAGAAATTTTATGCTGATGAGGCCTCAGTTTCATCAATTATAAAATGAAATAACTGAACCTATACCTCAGAGGGTTCTTGTAAGGATTACACTAAATAATCCAAGCAATGCCAGGGCCTGGGTCAATACTGAACATTTTGAATATTGAACATTTGAATATCGAATAGTTTGAATATTGTTTAAAGTATTCAATAAAGGCAAGAAGGAAGTAGCTGTGGGTCCATCCTCTGTCCTACTTTCATCATCATTCAAGAGTGGAATAGAGGAATAAAGATTTAACGTGAATTACCACCACCAAACACCAAATAAAGAGTTCACTGTTACCTCCGTTAAGGGTAGAAGGAATTAAACAAAAAAAATTTCAATAAGAAGAACCATTTTTAAATTATTACAACTGCCTCGGTTTTAGAAGTGAGGAAACATCCATAAAAGTTAAGTGAAGCCCAGTTCTTCCAACTCCCAAATCAATGTTCCTCCTACCACCCCACGCTGCCTCCCCACAGATCTCTCTACCTCTTCCCGACCCTCCGCAAGGCCCAGGGCTGTCTAAGCATTTAGGAGGGCCACAAGGACAGGGCCAGGGTGATGTCAAGCCTTCTGACTGGCACCACATCACGGTGGTGTGGGTAACTGAGATACAGACACTAGGAGAGGATCTGGTTTGGACAACTTCATCATGAGTTCAGTCTTCGACATGATGAGTATAAGGTATCTCATGAGAACCCCAAGTAGAGGTACTAAATGTGCAGTGAATATACTGACTTGAAAACTCAAGAAAAGAAGTTGCCTAACATGCCCAAACTGGACCTGCAGCCTCACTGAATCATCTTCTAAATTCAGATAGATATAACAATCTTATTTCCTAAAGTCCAAGCCTAACTGGTGAAGCACAAGACGTAAGGCATGCCTTTAAGATAAAGAATCCTTATCTCAATCACTCTGAGACAAGAAATACCTGTTCTACCACAAATTTCAGATCATTATCTTCTAAAATGAAATCCCTAAATATAAAAAATAAGTAATTTAATAGAACAACAAAAATTATAAAAGGAGATACAATATGATGTACTACCTGGATATCATTACCTCTGATACTCAAGCTAGGTTGTTAGTACAAAGGAGATTTACTATTTAAACTGTACATGTCTCATATGCCCTTTCAAATGTTTGAGATAGTGCCAATAAAAAAGTTAAAATCAAGGACTTAATCCAAGTTTCCTATATTCTGGCCTGACCCCCATCAAGTCTGATCTTTCACTGGTACTCCAGCAAGCTCAAAGGATCCTCTTCCCACAAACACCATGCTCCTCTCTTCTCTAAATTTCTACTCATATGACTGCACCTAGAATGTACTTCCTCCTCTTCCCTACCTATCCATTTCCCAATAACCCTTTAGGTTCTATTAATAGTTCAAGATCCACTCCCAGCTAAAAGGTCTTCTTTGACAAAACCTAGTTTCCGCAAATCTCTTTGTTAATGTAAATATCTCTTACGGACTGAACTTCTCATGAAACCTATTGCTGTACTGCTTTGAATTTTTACCTGAATTTACAGGTGCTTCTACACTAATAAAGCAGGATGAGTACTAACTAGATTTGCAATCAGAAAATGTGGATTTCAATCCCATAGCGATAAGACCTCTGACAAGTCTCTTTCACTGTGAGCTTCAGTCTTCTTATCTATAGAATACCTCAAATCTGTAAGGACCAAATTGATAGAACACGTGTGAATTACATACCAAAGTACACATCAGTTCTCCCTAAGTGACTCGCTAAGCTGATGTGTACAATATGTGTACACATTGTGTTTTACACATTATGCCTGCTTTTCTATTTCTCTTTCCTCCCCACCATTATTAACACCAATCTATCATAACTCTATTCCATGTTCATTTGCTATTTCTAATCTTGAGAAACCAGGCAACAGTAAACAGTAAAATATATATATATTTGACACATATATCTATGACTATGACTGTTTGGTGGATTTCTAACCTATACTATTGTGCCATAGAAACCAGAAACTTTTTCATACACAATGAGAAAGGGAAATAAATGTTCCATATAAGTAAATTTCTAGATAACTAAAGTTTTTCTCTTTAAGTGCCATAATCTTTGGGGGTTTTTTCACCCCATTTTGGATGAAAATCCTTGTAAAGTATAGATTATAAATTTTTTTCTTAGATATAAGATAGAAAAGATCTTTTAACCTTTCAATAATGACTTAGAGTCAGCATTATGAATTTCAAGTATTTTACTGCAGTATCTATTGTGACTCACTAAGCTGATGTATACGGAGCTAATTATTGTGTCTTACATATTATGCCTGCTTTTGTATTTCTCTTTCCACCCCACCATTATTAACACCAATCTCTTGTAACTCTATTCCATGTTCTTTGCTACTTCTAATTCTGAGAAACCAGGTAACAGTAAACAGGTAGGTTCCTTTTTGCTACATAAGCTTTAGATGCTAAGGCGTCCTTTTCCAGGCTAAGTGATGGACACCTATGTTCAAGATCACCAAGGTAGCCGGATAAATCAAAGTTCTTACTTCGATTGAAATCATACTTCTTTTGTAGATCATCTCATACTCACCAAGCCCTATGCATATGTGCTCAAAGATTCCAGAGGAACTCAAATTCTATTGACAACCTACTTACACAAGTCAATAATATTATCTTCACATATGAATGGTAATTGTTATCACCATGTAGCACCTCTGTTGTGCCAGGCACTTTAAGAAAGTATTTGTAATATAAAGGAAATCATCCTGGGAGCCATTTTAAAGCACAGTAGCAAAACTTACCTGCAACAAAATTAAACAGATTTCCAGATTTGCCGCTTTGCCAGAAAAGATCCTTATGTAACTGTGATGATTATAAGCAACTGGGTGGCTGGTGCAACTGTCTGTGGTTTAATAAAAAGAGCAGCTAACAGACCTCCATAAAATGGAGAATATCTAAAGAGTAGTTTGAAATTGACAATGGAACTTCTGGAAATATTTGAAAACCTGATCAACGAAAAAGCATTCTTAGTAGTTTTGTGCAGGCCACAAAGTCATGTTTCTTTCCTACCTACTACTAACTCCAGTTAATTAAGACTAACTCCAGTTAATTAAGATCTGTTCATAAAGAATAAATAATACAACATTAATTATATATGACATTTTCAAGAAGCCTACCTCACTGAATTGCTGGAATAAAACAGATGGCAAAAAATCCTGAGGGTGTAAATCAACAAGAGGCCCCGTCCAGTTACTCTGAACAAAAAGTTGCAAACTGCTCAAGCCAAGTAGGAACACCAGCTGTTGTCTGCATATAAAAACGGTTAGAGAAATAAATACAAACTACTATCATGGTATAATCTCAAACACATCATTTCATATTAGTTTTATTAAGAAAAATATATCAACCAACATTTATTGAGACTATCCTAGAGTATTACCAAAAAAAATTCTGCAACTTAAGCAATTTAGGTCTGCAATGTCCAATATTATAACCATGAGCCACATGGTTAAATTTAAATTAAAATTAAATAAAATTTAAAATTCAGTCCTTTAGCCATACTGTCCATATTTCAAGTGCTCAACAGCCATATCTGGCTACTGGCTACTATGCTGGACAGTGCAGAAATAGAACATTTCCATCATTATAGAAATTTCTCCTGTCCTGATCGGACATTTGTAACTTTTTCTTGCATTCTATTTAATGGTTCTGACACTGCCACAAGATGTATGGAAAACTGACTTTATACAAAAGAAAACCGACAATAAAAAGTTGTTTCTAACATTTTACTGATCCTGTACCACCAATTGCTAGAACAACAACAAAAAAAAAACCCTAGAAGTTTGAGCGAAACCTCTATTTTTCAACCCTGCTTTGGTTTAAGACAGGGGTAGGCAAACTTTTTCTAAAAGGACAAATATGAAATATCTTAGGCTTTGCATGTCACATGTGTTTGTTTCCAACACTTTAAAAATGTAAAAACCAGCTGGGCATGGTGGCTTATGCCTGTGA